CACTTTCCATATTGTCTGTTCCGACATTTCGAGTGTCATGTTGGCCTTGCACAAACTTGTGAATACGTTCTTTCTCGCGAGTCATAACCCGAATATAGCCACGTGTAGATTTGATGAAAAAATATAATTATCTTTACGCACGCGCTTGTACTTTATGACTGAACACTTACATCTAAGTAACTTGAAGCACTATCTATGTTGCGGTTTCTCTTTTTTCTGCGCAAATACTTTTTAATCCGGTGAATCAATCGTAAAACAACAATTCACGCGGAGGGCGCCGCCCATGTTTCGTATTTTGATTAGCGCCACTACTCCGCACTGCGCATGTTTCGTATCTTGATTTGCGCCACTACTCCGGCGTAAGGTCAACAGTCAAGATTTTCTGCTGTTTGCGCGGGGTTTATTTCTAAGTTGCCGGGTTCGAGCAGAAATATTTCCAGGAACTTTACAAACCCAGCGAAACCGTCAACTAGCCAGGAATGTGCTAGCGCCGCCAAGGATAGGGATGTTGATGAGAACAAAAAATAACTACCATGGCCGGCGTACAGGGAATATTTCGCTGTATTGAATGTGGTCGCTAACAACTTGACCGCAGTATGCAAACTTTGCACGAAGGAGTACTCTACCAACAAGTCGTCGTGTTCAAATCTGAGAAAACAGCTCGAGGTGAGTTTTGGCGTTTATTCTTTTTCCAGCTGAACTATAACGTTTGAATTTATCGCTATGGCGGCAGCCTGACTGATTCGTGTGTATACTTTTTTCTTTTATTCAGAATTGTTTTTCGTTTTCCACGGAATTTAGAAAAAGCATTACTTCGCACTTTAAGAAATTGACACCCGCAAGCGCAAATGGGATTCTTCAGCACCCTCCCCTTCAGCAAAAAAAAACTGCAAGTGAAAATAAAAAAACTCGGGACTTTCTTGTTTGCGGACAACAGCAAAGCTCGACAACGAATTCCATCTCATTCGGAAGTAGACCATTTGGTGCTCAACTTTGTTATTGGAAACGTGCAGTGCTTTTCCTTTGCTGAAAGCAAGCCACTTCAAGATCTTGTACACGGCTTGCAACCAACACGAGCTGTTATGACCCGGAAAACTCTGGTAGCTCACATTGACAGATTGTACAAAGAGAGGAAAGCTGCTTTGGTCAAGGACCTTGAGGAAACCACCGTCGTTTGCTGTACAGCAGACTGCTGGATGGCAGCAAATCGGCAAATTGTCTTAACTCCTTAACTCGTCCTCGGAATCTCATCCGCAGTCCTTTTCATGTTTTTTTTTAATAATATTCTTCTTTATTTTAGAAGCTTCCTTGGCGTGACAGTTACTTACCTTGACGGTGAAACCTTGGCCAGAAATTCAGCTGCACTGGCCTGCCGACGACTTCATGGCCGCCACACATACGACAACCTCGCTTCTTCTCTGCGTGATATTTTTGCGGAATATAAGCTCACAAAGAAGATATGTGCAGTCGTTTTCGACAATGGCTCTAATTTTATTAAGGCTTTCAGGTAGGCTGAACTTGCAAGCAGAACATATAACGGTTTTGTTGCTTTTTTGTGCGATATATCGTGCGTTCGTTGCTTGCTTGCTTTCAAGGCACTTCGGGGACAGTTCACAGGACAGTGAGGATGAAGGCGGTGTGGTGGCCCCCTTGAGCATCACAGAGGTACTAAACGAAGATCCTGCAGAGAGTGCTTCTATGGATGTAATTTATTTGCCAGCTCACCGAAGGTGCGCCGCCCATACTCTGAATCTTATTGCAACTGTGGACGTTGAGAAGGGGTGCAGTGATGGTTTCTACTGCAGCATTGCAAGTGCCGCTTTTGCTAAACTTAAATCTATGTGGAACAAGCAAGCACAGTCTGTCCTTGCAGCTGAATCTATCACGGAAGAATTAGGAAAGTACTTTCCAGTCCCTAACACGACAAGATGGAACTCTCTGTACGACGCCATGAGGTTCATCAACGACACTCCGAAATTCAAGATCGACGCTGTGTACGATATCTTATCGTTGCCGCGACTGCAAAGGAACGATACTGTTTTTATTGCTGAGTACTGCCAGGTATGTTTACGGTGTTTATTTTCAATTATTCGTGTGAATAACCCATTACACCTTATATCTCTTTATCAGACCATGAAAGGAGTCGCCAGAGCCCTGGACATTCTTCAAGGAGAAAAGTTCATGTGTATGGAAGCTTTATTGCCAACTCTGCAATCCTTGCAGCACCTACATTCATTGCCTGAATTAATGTTCTGTGGGCCGCTCGTGAAAGCGCTCAAGCTGGCTGTCAAGACAAGGCAAGTGTTATTTTAAGTTTCTTATTAATGCGGTATTGTATAGCTCACTGTGACGATACGGATATACTCTGCTTCCCCTTGCGTCCCACGGAAGCAAATTCTGTCCTGTATTTCATACCGTTCGTAACCCTCTCTATTTTTAGGTTCGCTGAAGACCTCAACTGTGACGAACTTCTTCTGGCTGCCATAGTACACCCCAAATTTAGGTTGTCATGGATGGATGACAACGACCAACGTGATTTCGCACTCAGAATGTTAGGTGACGAATGTAAAAGAGAAGGCGCTGCTGTCAGCGCAGATGAAACATTGAGAAAAACGTCAACCGACGATAATGACGACGATACTTTTTTTCAACTACGCCCCAACGTTGTGTCTACCAGTGAGGCGCAACGGTGGGGAAATGAAACTTCGGAGGAAACGACACTCTGTTGCCTCAACGCCTACCCGGCAATCAAAAACCTGTTCCTGCGACACAACACAGCAATTCCATCCAGCGCGCCAGTTGAACGCCTGTTCAGCAAGGGCAGGGACGTATTCGCCATCAAACGAGGGAAACTTTCTGACACAAATTTCGAAAAGCAACTGCTCCTAAGTTATAATGTGAAGTAAAAAGTGTACTTTCTTAATTTTATGCAATAAAACTTGGTGAGGGCCTTTTTCAACTTTTTCCTAAATTTCTTGTGTTATAGAAAAGTAACTGAAAAGTAACTGTAACTGTAACGAGTTACTTTTTTGTTACAGTAACTGTAACGGTAACTTAACTACTTTTTCTGAAAGTAACTGTAACTGTAACGAATTACTTCTTAAAAGTAACTTACCCAAGACTGGTTGTACTGCACTGGCTAAATTGATCATCTACAACTGGGAGACTCGTCGCGCTTTGAGGCAGACCAATTTCTAGGCGGTATAAACATACAACCCAATTTTTTTTTTCGACTTCAAACACCCGATGTAATGATCGCATCACATCATAATATACTCGCCTTCAAGCACAACATGCAAGCTTCAATATTTCTTCATTTGTCTGCTTTTCCCATAGACTTGCGTGTATTGCCTGGTGTCAAGTAATGGCCGCCAGTGGTGCCATCGATGCGCTCGCCATCCGCGATCCAGACTACTACAACGGAGATCAGGGCAGGAGGCTATGGTGTGGCCAAAAACTCTACGCTCGCACCGCCGCACGCGCCGGAAGCGCACGCCTTCCCCGTATAAAAAAATTCGAAGTAAATTACCAACAAGATTTGACGAACACACGTGCCAGATGCCATTTGTTTGAGGCTTTTGCTTGAGAACGGTTACTGCTGCAGACGCCGCTACGTGCGGCGCGTGGAACACCATTTTCCTTGATGCTTGGGTAATTTAGAAAAAGGTATATTCCACTTCTCTTGACGTAACAAGGATGCCGCGTAAAGTCCGGACTCCCGAAGAGCAGCACGTACGCTTACAAAGAGCAAGGGCGGGAACACTACCGAGAATGTCAGCGGCGTCGACGGGTTGCAAACATCACCGATGAAGATTGTGCACAAAACGTGATCGCACTACAAAAGACCCTTATTTCTCTAACACCAACACACGGAACTTATTGTCTATCATGTAATTGAGCAAAGGTCTCAGTTATCCCACCTGTCCTCCTGGTCTTTTCAGAACCTAAAGGCGACCCAACTCGAAACCCCTGATATAAGGCCGTATGTCTTTCTTGGAACATATTATTAGTGAAAAGTCGGAAAGTAATATATATTTCCGGCACAATGCGAATTAATATCAGAAAGAACTCAAAGCCGCCAAAATTGTAGCATAACAGTGAAACAGTACATTGAATTAAAGTGACACTATGAGCAGGTTTATTAACAGGCGTTTGGTTAAATAGGTATTTTAAATAATTGTATTGAAAATACTGCCCATTTTTGTGTGTATTGAAAAACAAACAGTGGACGTTATTGCTTTCTCAGGAAGAGTTTTATGTTCGACATGTCTTGTTATTTAGACGCGCTGCTCAACTTGATGGTGCTTTGACAGCCTTGAGTGCAAATGTAGCAAGAGCGGTTTCGCTGCTTTGTCTAAGAAACGGAAAAGGCACAACTTTTGGCCAGGCAGGGCAAGCGTAAGGCCAGAGATCACAAACATTTTAGTTAAACTAGATGTATTTTATCACCGCTAATTGTGGGCCAATACATTTTTTTGTAAAATGTTTATGATCATTTACTAAACAATCTATATGAAGGCGAGCGGTTTTTAATTTGTCAAACATTCCGATGCTGCAGAATAGGGAGATATAAATAAATCGTAAGTTTAAAGAACAATGTCAGACATATTTTTCTTTTTTATATAGAACGCAATATCTCATTTTACAGTGTCTAATATTTAACACATAATTTTTTTTTTGCTCTCGGACGAATTAATAAAAAAAAGCCTAGGTTATAGTACCAAAAAAAGCAAATGCGATTAGCTGACTCAACTAAGGAAGCAAACAAATCTTGATGCAATATACTATAAGAAAACCTTGACTCTTTTGTGTTCGCTTTGACCTGATATTGGCCAGCTCGTTGTCTTTCGTGATAGATCAGCCAACGAACACTTTGGATTATCTCCGAATAGGACTCCTCAATAGAAGAATGAATTATCGGCTTAATGAAATCTATGGTCAAGTGGCCTCGCTACTTGACACGCCCGTTATCTACGGTATGTTTACGCGCAGCCAGTAATAGAAGGGGTTCAGATGATATTTAAGAGCTCGAATCTGGAGAAGTTCTAAGTCAGGCAGCCACCTTGCATTCGATCTACTTGGTTCTCGCCCCTCAATTGCAGAAAGGTGAGCTCACCTCTAGAAACAAATTTGCACATATTCATTCATTTGATTTAGGTCCTAAGCTAGGAGTATTTCTCCCCAATCCAGTTCCCCTCAGGATTCACATGGCACAATGGAGACTCGTGATTGCGTCGTTCTTTCTTGTCCTTCGATTGCCAGGGTTTGGACGTATTCAGAAAAATATAGATGCTACTATAAGAAAGGCATGCGCTTCCTGTCCCTTTTCGCCTCTCATTGTCTAGAGTCAACCACGCATTCGACATGAACACCTTTTGTTTATACCAATATTATCCCTACTATAAAGGTAAATCAAGCATATAAATTGCAATAACCCGGTAGCCATATACGCCACTGTGCAGCTGAGTATGTCCCTTCCTCAACCTGCGGGGTAATGTCAAAGTGAGCCAGCTGCATGTGTAGAAAGTAGACGCAATGGCGTGATAAGCAACAGGTGACGCAAGCACATTTTCGTATGCATTGAGGTCTCGCCATTTATATCGAAGACAAGTGACGTCAAAATGTTTCACATTTTAAAACACACACCTTTCTATGTTTCCGACCGTTGTTGTACGTCGGTTCAACGTTAACGTGTTGCCCAAAATATATCAAAAGCTATCAATGAAGCATTCGGCCAAGATGGTTCCGCGTAAAGGCTGGTCAAGACCTCTGCACCAAGTGCGGTGGCTACGACTGCGTGCCTTGCGACCAGATCAAATAGAACGACCGCTTTGTGCTGCGAGTACACACTCCTGCAACAAACGCTACGACACTGTGCCAAAATGTCACGTCACTTTCCACCGCACTAGCGGTTTTGATCCCAGTTTTTTACTCTTGCCCCCCCCCCCCCCCTCTTCCTATTGAAAAACAAGACATGAATAAAACGGCGATTGCCTCTCCGCACTAACACCGTCGCGCTCTGTAGAACACACACCGTTTTATAATTTTATGACATCAGATTCAAACCTTATTTGTCAAACCCGAAGAGATTTAGTTCTACGAGTTCTGCTTCAAGAGTTAGTTCCATGAGTCGTGCTTCAAGTCGTTTTGTATTCCGTCGTCCGAAAAAAGCGTTTTTCTAGTCCTGCAGAAAAATGATGGCACTGAAGGTAACCACGTCGCTGATCTTGGTCCTCCTGTCTGCTGTAATTTGCACGGGACATCCTGACGGAGCTGACGACGAGGCCTGCAAAGACCTGTATCCGTCCCACGGATACACTGCCAAGAGCGCTGCTGAGGGCCACGCCGAGGGCTACCGTCTCGTCCAAGACACAGAGGACTACAAGCCGGGTGACGTCATCACAGGTGAGGATTCTCATTTCTATTGCCTTGACGGACATGAAAATAGGAACTACACATTTTTTTATATTTTGGGTGCCTCTAAAGACATCTTGACAGCAGCACGTGACTAGTTTGTGGTAGAATGTCTACTGCGGGTAAGATGTAGCATCGTGAGATATAGTGTCGTACGCCTGTTCACCTAATTAAATTTGCGCATGGTCCCAAATGCTATTGCGCGGTTTATATAGGTACATATTCTATCCAGAAATTTTATTATTTTGAGATAGGAATGACGCTTTCAAGGTGCTGAGATTATAACATGTCCATTGGACGGTTCGGTATAGTCTATCCGTGTATTTGTTTCAAATGGTTCATGTCCTGGCGCTGACGGGTTTCTGCAAGGAATGAGAGCAGATACACGCGGGCACTAAGCCTCCTTTTTAACTTTTAACTTGTTGGATTATGGATCTGGAAATTTATCTGGAATCTATTAAGATTTCAAATTTTTATGAATACTTTCTTGTCTGCTTTCTGGATTTTATGTTTCCAGAAACAATTCCAGATAGATTTTATCTCACAAGACCAGTCCAGTCCACGGTCCAGTCCAGTCCATTCCAAACCAGCGACGGCAGCTTGCCCTAGGGCAGTAAATGCCTACACATTTAAAAATAACTTGTATATGCCTTGTGTTCGCGGACAGACGTTTTAACCGGCAATTTAGAGTTATGGTTGAAAATCCCACAGGGGTGTTCTGCTCAAGACTTTGCGTTTCAATGATTATCTTCCTATATGAGATGCTTTAGAAGCCGCACCACAGGGAGGGTTTAGCATGCGTTTCCTGTACAGTGACACTGTCCTCGGAGGCCTCTCCCTTCATGGGGTTCCTGGTCAAGGCTTTCGACGAGAACGAGAAGGATGTGGGCTCCTTCAGGAGTACCGGGCCCGACTCGAGGGCATTCAGCCACTGCGCCGGGATCACGCACACCTGGAGGGACCTGAAGAAGAGGGTTGTCGTCCAGTGGCTGGCACCAGAAGACAGATCCGGGAAGGTCCACTTTAAGTAAGTTTGCCCGATATATATTTGGACAAGCCGGAAAATTAACGTAGCCGCAGAAATTTCTCTCGGCATGGTTTTCGCAATCTTCATGGCGATTTTGCTTCAATCCACATAACAAATATGACCCATAGACTGTTCCACGTAGGTTCCTCAAGGTGTGCTCTTAATCTTTAGACATAGGATGCTATTAGGCGGGCGCTCTTCCTTCCGAGATTGTCCTTCTGTTATATGTGCTTAATTGGCTACTGCATCCAATCCAACATTTATATGTAACAATAAGAATATTCAATCGTACCAAAATATCAAAGTCACTCGTGAGTCATAATTAGCTATCACCTGAGTGCTGTGTATGAAGGTTTCCCAATATTTTTTCAATAAAGTTTCTAAACACTCCTGCAGTTAATCGATATTCAGCATTACGCCAACGTCCTAATGAAATCTCTGACTTCGTGTCTCAGCTTTGCAAAAAAGTACATTCTAGTGTGGAAATAAAAATCTCTCTGGTACGCTTCCCCACCGAAAACCCTAGTTTAACTTTTCGCTATCTGGATTATGAAACTGTAACTCTATCTGAGCTCTTCCTGGAATTCAGGCGTCAAAAATTAGTTTTAGTCTGCAATCTGGACTTAGGTTTCCATAAACATTTGCAGTTAGATTACCAGTCTCATATTCTAGACAGTAAAAAATTGCTGTGTTCATTTTTCGGTAGGGTTGCCTTTAATAATATGTGTGTTTTGGATCCACAAGTGTAAATATAGCTCCCAAGTTTATCTCCTCGCTACTGAGAAACGCGCGCTCACTGGCAGAAACTCGATGGTACATCGGGTTCAAATGAAATTCGAACAGCGACGGAACTTTGAGCCCACTACCGGGGCAGCTTACAAGCTTGCGTTGTGCATGACGATGTTCAAAAATATCCGAGTAGAACGCACAACCTCGCAGCGCCCTACTTCGGTGTGTTTGAACATCGTAAAGCACAATCCAAGCACGGAGGCTGCGCTGGTAGTGGGCTCGAAGTTCCATCACTGTTCGCATTCCATTTGAACCCGATGGTACACAAGCAACCAGTGGTAAAAGAGACGAACCACCAGGCAACCAGTCGTAAAAGCAAAGTGCGTAGCCAAGTTGTTGATAGATCAACTAAACTAACACAGCGAAACTTTATTAAAAGCCCTAAATTTACGCCGGAGGAATACGTACTATTAATGTTGAAATAAGTTCAAGTTGGACACGATAAACATTTTTGTAAGATTTCAATAACCAAATATTTTATTGACACACTCAACTGAAGATGCAGACCAATCACGCAATATCCACAACAGTATTTTTTCGCAGGGCAGGTGAAGGTTGAATTCCAGCGAACACTACACAGTGACATTTATTTTTTTCTTACAGGGTCACAGTCGTCAAACAAATAAAGGACTTCTACCACGCCATTCCAAGCACGTTGGCTTAAACCGGCCAAATGTTTTTACAACAGAAGAACTAAATAAAGACTATAAAAGTTCAGTTTTTTTTTAATTTGTGTAATATTAAAGATTACCGGGGATTGAATTGAATCCCTCCCAGTTTGCGTATAAACATGCGTGACGTGTGCGGCTAATGGACACAAAATAGCTTTTGCTTGATTCCATGTGCCGTGAAAATATATATGTTCTTGAGTCCATGAAATAGCATCTTTTACCTCTTTGAACTCCGGAAGCGCTAATTCGCGCAGTCTCCGTCTCCCATCAGCCTTATATTTTTTTTTTTCCTCTGGTTTAATCATCATGGCCACAATACTGTTCCCTGAGCCGGTGTTGTAACTACCTTTGGTTTAGAGGCCCAGATGCATCTTGGGTTTTAATATAACTACCATAGTTCAGTTTATATTTAGGTCCGAGACATAATAATGCGTTTTTGGATTTAACAAAAATCGACATATCCTTGAATGTCCAATCAAGCTCTGCAATAATTGCTTGTTTTGGAAAAGAAAAATACACATAAGTTTTGCTTCAGCCAGATTATTTAACCCATTTTCATTGTCTCTGTTTACAATATTGATGATGGGCAGCTAAATTCTTCAGGCAACAAAATAACAGATGCAATAAGTTTTGTTTTGCGAACAAATTATTTAGAACTAGCTTCGTCGTCTAACTTCGCCTCGGTGGGTACCGGCATTGAGACAACAGGCAGCCGGCTCCAATCGCACCCTGGTTCCAACTGCCACAAGGCGTTTTATTATCAATCAAAGCCGAAGACAGCGGCAGCCTCCCAGCGGATGTATTTAATTCAGTGAGTACATTTTGCACACTTCAAAATGCGCGCATATAAATATACAGCACGACAGTACCACTTCAAGTGGGTCTGCTTCCAGGTAATAAATAAGCCTGCTTTTTGCGCTGCGTCTTACAGAAGGACCGGACACAGAATGTTCGTCAAACTCATGACTATCGAAGTGGTTCTCAGGCTCCGAGTCCGAGTCATCTGAATCCGTGGATGCTGCGGGTCAACCGCGATCCACCGCCGAGCTCCCTTCTCAACTAAGCCATTTTGGAGTTAATCTTGGCCTCAGAGTGATCGCGATGTATAAAACAAATTCTACTAAAAATCCGCGCCAAGTATGTGAGAACACTAATTTCCTTCGTCACCTTTCCTTTCGCCCATCCAGTTTCCTCCCCTCTCACGTTTCGCACTCACGCTTTGTCCTCAACTTTGACCTCCCCTGGTCTGGCCTGTTGAGTGTCAATAGTCTTCTCGGCATTATTTGGATTTTCTCGCCGAAAAGTAGCGGCACTGGGGCTCAGCAAAGCAAAACCCGTCCGTGGTAAGCGCACAAGAAAGAGCTCGGCCGGCGTCTTTTCCGTTACTCCGTGGCGAGTTGTCCTGTACTGCAACAAAAAGTTTGAAAGCTTCTGCTGCGTGCTTCTCTTCCCACCCCGCGTCCTGTCCTCCAAGACCTGTCTCAGAAGGGCTGCTTTGCCGTCGGCCAGCTCGTTGTCTTTTCAGACAAATTACTCAATGGACACTTTGGCTTGACTAAGGTCAGGATTGTTCAATAAGGGAATAAAATTATCGTCAAAATGGAATGTTTCCTCAAGGGGCCTTGCTATTTGACACCCTCGTTATCTACGGTATGCTATCGCGAGTCCACTGATAAAACGGGTTCATATGTAATTTAAGAGCTAGAAACTGGTGAAGTTATAAGTCACGCAGCAACCCGGCATCCGATCCACATAGTTGTCGCCTCTCCATTGCAGAAAGGTAAGCTCACCTCTAGAGACAGCTTTACACTTAGAGTGCAAAGATAGTTGTGGACTTTATTTGAAAGAGAGGGTGCCATCTCGACCTGGCGACAGATAATCACGACAAATATTGACACGATCATTTTCAAGGAATAATCGAGCACTCTTCGAAAGAAAGGCACAAACACGAGACAAAACTGGACGGGGGTCTTGTTAACTCCTCCTTATTTCTTGTCATATTAGTGTCCGCCTCTCTATCTCGATCTTTAAAAACTTCTATCATAGCACGAGTGCCCTTAAAGGGAAAGCCTTGAGACCTGGAAAGTGAAGTGAGGCATAATCGTTAGAAATGTCTCTGCGATGGATCTTTCAGAAGAGTCAATAAAGTAAAGAGATTACAAAAACGGAATCATTAGGAATTAAACACTGTAAAGCAGCTGAGACAGCCGACATACAAATGCCGCTTAAATGCGCCAATATTGGCCAAGAGATGCGCAAAAAAGTTCAGAAAAATGACTGACCCATTAATAAACAATAATAATAATTTCTTTCCAACTTTTAAGATCCAAACATATAACTTAACATTTCGTTAAAAAAAATGATTCCGAAACCGCTGCTTTCGCAGTGATTTCAGTATTCTCGACGAAATACGTTGCCATTTAGCGAACGCTACAGAGAACCTACAACTTTTAGATATCTGGATTAAAGACCTGTCAATCTATCTGGATTCTATTGCACGGCGTCGCAGCTGCGCCTCGGTTTTACGTTGTCGCGTGCGTTCTGCGTACTGGGAAAACGAAACCATGTATCTACACTCTAAGAAAAAATGACGACCCTGTGTAGTCAAAATGGCGCTTTGAAGGCTTTGACTACCCCAAAAGGCGAGTGACTAGCATTTGGGCAATGTGACGACCCCAAACCGCTGTGGAATTACCACTTTTCTGAAGGTGACGATAGGGGTGTGGTCACTTTCAAATCCAATATTCACATGCAGGCAGTCGTAAATGATATTAGTAACTTAGATAACTATAGAAAGACTATAAATTATATTCTTCCTTAGCTTCCGTGACCCTTTAAGATCCGCCAAGATCACATCCGTTGTGCAATTGGCGTAGATTTGTGCTATAAACATTTTGTCAGCGCGAGCAGCAACACTGCAGGTATCGACAGCTGTGGCATCAAAACAACAACGAACGGCGTTAGTGTTTGCGGGAATGAGGTAAGGATAATTTTTTTTCTTTTAGCCGTATCTTATTCTAAAGAATATTTTAAAAAATGTCTATTTGTATATCTGATCGTGATGAACCACTGAACACTGAGACCGAGGGTCCGCAGAGTAAACATGCTCAGAGGTATGTGACTGTGTCGCCCGTCCTGCTTTCCTTAATCTCGTACTGGTTGAATTTCTGAGCTGCTCCCGTCGTGGTTGTGATCTTCCGGCTGTACGTACGTAGTGCGTGAACATTCCAATTCAGTAGCAGGTTGCAGTTCAGTGGCACCGTAGTAATTGGCTTTTACTAGATTGTTGCGTCGTCACGTTCGCTATTTGTGTTGTTACAAACGCCGGCGCGAGCCCGAGCTCGCGCCTCTTTCGCCGTTTGCGCTCTTCAGTTTTGATGTTATGCTCTATTATTTATTAAATCTAAACCAAAAAGTCAATCCCCTCTGCATCGTCACCCGCCAGGGCACCCCCTAGCGCTGCCGCTCTACCAGCCCTTACTGGATGTCTCCTGCTAGCAATAGCTGCTTGATGTCGAACCACCAATATCGTCACCTCTCAGCCAGAGAGTCACTACGTTTTGGTGCGTCAGCTACCACTATATTTTGCTGCATCGGCCGCTACTACGTTTTAATAAGTCGGCCGAGCCTGTCGGCCCATCCCGTACTTTCGACTGTTTAACTCTTTTTTGGGCAGAAAAAGAGCCCCTGCGGTTTTTCACGACGTTCTTGCGCTCGTGCTCGCTCAGTTTTTTTAGGGCAGCATATAAGCTTCTGGGGTTGGTTGCAGTGTTCCAGCACTTGTGTTACTTCAGTTCTTTCAGGACAGTAATTAAGCCTCTGAGGTTCTTCACAGTGTTCCAACGCTCGTGATCGTTCAGTTTACCAGTCTTCCCTGCAAAACGTTGCTTTTCAAACCTTCTGATCTTTTCCCCTTGGCCGGTCGCTCTGCTGTACCCGATCTTGTACGAAATTTCATTGCATTGAGACCCCCATGCTGCCCTATGCTCCGTTCACCCCTAAGCTGAGACAGAGCCGTACATGTAGATAGTTTGGCCATTCGTTGCAAAGTATAGGAGACAAATGAGGAGGCGCCACTGGCCGAAAGCGTTCTGGCCGTGTTACAGAGCGTCTTCACAAATTAGAATGCGGCCAATCAAAAGCCGGAAATATTACCCTGGTGGTGGTCGCGAGAAACAAACTTAATAAGTGCGTCGGAGTAACTCTCGGTGACTGAAAATATGGTGCACGTGATGTTTCAATCACAGTCATCCAAAATCATGGTGAAAGATTGCGACTAGCGGAACAATCGACATAATTCATGTGCCAAGCGCCGAGGGCCGGGAATTTGCCGTCCCAGTGGTCACACTCTGTCCGAGCAAAACAGAGTTGAGCTGCACATTCGTTTCTTACATCTTTCTGCATGATCACGAGCGAAACATCACGGGCACCTTATTTTCAACCACAAAGAGTCACTACACTGCACTCTTACGCACTTAGTAAAGCCACATACCAACATATACCTATGATCAAAACAGTTTCTTGCTATTACCGCCAGGGGATTCTTTTAGGCTTCCGGATGGCCAAGAGAGCATGTCAAGCCCACTTTCTGCGTCTGGTGCACGCCCTGATTCTGCCCGTGACTTCCATTGACCAAACTCTCTCTATTTACGGCTCTGCGTTGAGACTGCTGTGGGAACTACGAGCCCGCCGAACCCATGAACCGCCTCCCTTTCATCGCCTGACCCAGTCCTCGGCGTGTGGGTATGAGCGGGAGCGTGGTCGCCTGGCGAAAGGGGGGTGTATGACTGGTCCATTGAGGACGTAGCTGCCACCGCAGTCTCAGCTTAGGAATGAATGGAATATAGTCACCGTGCAAGATGGCCGCCCAGCTCCGGTCTCCCGAGAAGTTGACGTGTGCTCTAGGCAGGCACGTAGCCAGGGGGGAGGCCCTGGCCACGTGCTGGGACCTCCTCTCCCCCTCCCCCTCATACATCATTTTGTCATGGGCGCCCCCCCTCCCCCCCCCCCCCCCCCGAAACAAAATCCTGGCTACGTGCCGGGCTC